CACGGGCGAGCGGGCCTTGTTCTTCATCTTGGGCACCCGCTGCACCAGCTGCTGGGCCTCACGGTAGGCGTCACGCAGCTCCTTCTTCCACTGCACCAGCTCCGGGTCACTCTGCATATGCCCGGGGGGTCCGTCAGGTGAGGCCTGGGTGCCCCGAAGGCCACGCCATTCCCACACGCCTCTGCCTGCCGGGCCCCCACACCCCACTCACGTCGCACTGCAGGACGAACTGTTTACCCCCGCGGATCTTGAGGAGGAGGCACTTTCGCTCCTTGATCTGCGTTTCCTCCACCGACTGGATCTCTTCCATGGTCAGCAGGCTCTGCTGCAGGGCAGGGAGGGACGGACAGGGGCAGTGAGGGTACAGGCCAGGCCCAGCCAGCCCTGGCCCCAGCCCCCGGCCCCCATCCTTACCGGGGCCTCGCCCTCGCCCCGCCACTCGAGCCGGTTGGGGAACAGGTAGAAGTACCGCCGCTGCCACTGAGTCAGGAAGGGGTTGCCCATCTTGGACATGTAGCCGTGCATGATGCAGTCCTTGCCCAGGGCGTAGTCTGCCGGGAGAGAGTGAGAGAGGCCCCGCCCGGTTGGGAATCCTGGTTCGGCCGCTCTCTGGCAGTGACCTTGGCTGGGTTCCTGAAACCCACGCCTGTTTCTCATCTATACAGCGGGCAGTGGGTACCCTCGGCCGCCACCGGCCCTCACCTTCCTCGTGGCCCAGCTGCTTGTTTTTGGTTTTCTTGCGGGTCTCTAGCCGGTCTGTCTCGGCGTTGATGGTGTCAAAGACAGTCTCTGCCACCTCTTGCTGCCACCGCTCGGAGATGGTGAGGGGGAAGTTGCGGTAGAGTTCCTGGTCGCTGTCCAGTAACTGCGCCATGGGACGAGGCAGGGGCATCCATCACCATGGGCATGCCCCGCCCAAGGGACGAGGGCAGGGTGATCTGGTGCACCCCCAGGGACATTTGGGGGAAGGAGCCTGGGGCCCACAGCTGACAGGGCTGGCCAAAGGGTCTCCCAGGGCAGAGAAGGGATGCGGATGCCCGGGGCTGGGCTCAGGTGCAGGCCCAGTACCTTGATTCCTTTTGTGTCTTCCTCATCAAAGGAGCCAATGTCGAAGGCATCGGCAGCGTTCACCTCCCCTCGCGGGGGGATCAGCGGGGGAGGGTACTGTGGCAGAACGAGGGCTGGGCATCAGCACGGGGCAGGGACTGCAGAGCACCACCGGCCCCGGCCCCTGCCGTTACCTTCTGCAAGAAGACCATCTGCCAGTCCAGGGAGCGGAAGAAGGGACTCTCCTTCACCTCCTGGGCCCTGTGGGGAGACGCGGGTCATCCGGGCTCTATCCGGGTGCGGGGCAGGTGGCCCCAACTAACGCCTGGTTCAGCCACTTTCTGGCTCTGCGACCTTGGGCAAGTTCCTTAAACCTGAACCTATTTCCTCATCTCTAGTGGGGAGAACAGCAGTTCCCACGTCTCGTAGGGCTGTTGTAAGTTTTAATATTGTAAATCTTGCAACATCATGCCTGGCACTTAGTAAATGTTTAATAAACATAAAAAGCTGCTGTCATCATCATCATCTGATATCACCGTCTTTGTTACAAGGGCCCCTCCGGAAGCCGGTCACCAGCCAGCTCCAGCAGCTGCAACCCGGAGGATACTGGACTCAGAGCTGGCTGTGCCCCAACCTCCTGTGAGTTCCCCAAAGGAGGCTGGTTCCAGTGAGGGGACACGGCCCTTGTCCTCAGGGCGGAACAGGCAGAGGCCAGCAGCCCACAGCAGCGGCCTGGACACCGCAGCAAGCCGAGTGCTCAGGGCCTTGCTGGGAGGCAAGACCTGGGACAGAGGCCCTGGTCCCGGCACTCACCCTCGGCCCAGGCAGCCCAGTCTCCGGTGGACATCCCTCTGCAGTAGCCCCTCCAGCAAGGAACGGAGCTCGGGGGAGAAGGAGTCGGGCAGCTCCACAGCCTGCGGGAAGAGTGAGATGTCAGCAGCGGCCACAGAAGAGCCCCCGGCTCCCAGTAGAGCGAGAAACAGGCCCAGCTTCCTAACTCCCCCACCCCCAGCGGGCATGTTTGCTCTGACAATACAGGGAAGGAGCCTACAGGGCAGGAGGCCAGAGTGGGGATGAGTGGCCCAAGATCGTTGCTGGTGAGAACCAAGAGTCCATGACCCTGATACCCATGAGAGACTCCAACCCCACTGTGGCCCCATGGACTCCATACAGCATCCCTGGGCTGGAACCCCACACTCACCATTGTCAATGTCATGCGGTCGATCTCATGCTTGTCTTTGGTCTTGTGCTGCCGGAAGGGACTGTGCCTGGGCAGGAAAGGACAAAGGCCGAAGTCACAGATCAGGAATGGGGAAACTGAAGCAGGGAGCATCCATGGTCCTTAGCCAAAGCCAGGGATGATGCCATACCTAACACCCAGGTGGCTGTGGGCTCCTCCCCCAGCCTCCTACCTGGACCAGGGAAGGGCTGCTCTGTCCGGTCCCACCCCTCCATGTGGGATGCCCACTCACCCCCGCAGCAGCTTGAAGAGCATGCAGCCCAGGGAGAACCAGTCCGCACTGCTGTCGTAGGCCACTCCCTTCTGCAGCACCTCGGGGGCCATGTACCCGTGGGTGCCCCTGTGGAAGCAGAGACCGTGAGCGGGTTTGGCAGAGGGTTTGGGAAGGGCGGGTGCGGGCTGGGCACTCACACACTGGCGTGGGGCTTCTTCTTGGAGAAGTCGCAGGCCAGGCCCAGGTCTGAGATGCGCACGTGGCCATGCTCGTCCAGCAGGATGTTGGCCGGCTGTGGAGGAATCCCAGTAAGCTGCCTCCCCGCAGCTCAGGACAGGGCCCAGCCAGGCATGTGCCAGCTGGGTCGCTGCCTTCACTCTCAAGGGTGATGGGTGTCCAGGGACCAGGCCCTGGGCAGGGTCCTCCCCTTCCCTCCTCAATCACAATCTGAATTCAGAAAATGGCTTGTTGGGTGGGAGGGCGCCTCGGGGAGGAGCCGGTGGCCCTGTCCCAGGCACGCCACCCCCATGGCCTAGTGGGCCAGGCGCACCGAGAGGAGGAACAGGCCGGCGCTCACCTTCAGGTCCCTGTAGACGACGAAGCGGTTGTGCATGTGCTCCAGGCCCAGAATGATCTCGGCCGCATAGAAGCGCATGTCGGCCTCGGAGAAGACGCCGTGCTGGGACAGGTGGTAGTGCAGGTCCCCGCCTGAGGGAGGAAGCGCTCAGCTCCCTGTCCCGGTCCCCCAGCCCAGCTCCTGGTCCGCCTGGGGCCGGGCCACACACTCACCGTTCATGAGATCTAGGATGAAGCTGAGTTTGTCTGGCGTGTGGAATGCGTAGGACATGCAGACGATGAACGGGCAGTCCTGGGAGGGGACAGGACAGAAGTCAGCAGAAGCCGCCCAAAGGTCCCAGAGCCCAAGGCTGCTTGGTGGCCGGCCCACCTGGCCACCCGCTCACCCCGGTGCTGACGAGGGACAGCATGATGCGCTCGTTCAGGGCCAGGGTCTCCCCCTGCTTCATCTTGATGCGCTTCTTGTCCAGACACTTCATGGCGTACCTGCGGGGAGGGGGCCACTGAGTCAGCCCAGAGGCGCCGTCGTGCAGAGTCCAGGCTGCTCTGGGGCCCAGGGTCGGGGTTGGGGAGTCCTCGGAGCCCTTTTGGGGAATTCTGGGCACCACAATAAGCTTATGACACACAGAGACAGAGAGAGGGCAAGAGGAAGTGCTGGTGGGTTGGAGGCTCAGGGGGTAAGAATGTGGAGAGAGACAGTGGCATGGAGTGACTAGCCAGCCTGTGTCCCCTTGCAGAGACCTGCCCATTCAGGACCCTGTCACCTGGCTCCTGGGACACTGATGCCCCCACAGCTCTCCCATGGACACCCTCCCTTCCCTCGAGCGTGCTAACATCTTGCCCGTGTCGGCCTTCCGGCACCCATAGACCTCGCCGAAGCCTCCTCGACCAATGATGCGGTGCACGCTGAAGTCGTTCATGGTCAGCTGCAGGGGCGGCAACAACGGGGGTCACTGCAGGCTGCCTGGGCCCCTTGCCCACGGCCACCCTCACATGTTACCTGCCGGAGCCACCCCCAGGGGGAACCTGGCACTGAACCCACAGCCACCACACCAGAGGCTGGCAGACTCCCTGGCCTGCCTAGCCCTGGACAAGCCCTGGGGCCCAGCCCCCACACCCACCCAGCCCACTCACGTGGATGTTGAGCTCCACATTCTTCCACTGGCAGAACCGTGTGAATTTATCACTGTAAGAGAAGAACCGGGGCTCAGGAAACCTCAGGAAGTAAATGGGGTGATGCCAGGTGTGAGCCGCCCCACCCCCTGCCATTCCCTGGGTCCTGAGCCTCCGTGTCCTCTTCCGGAGCTGCCCGGGGACAGTGCCATCCCGAGCTGGGCCCCTGCCCGGAACACCGGCCTGAGCGGGGCCTGGCCACCTACACGCAGGTTCCTGCTGCGATCAGATAGGTTAGAAAGGAGGTCTCCCAGCCTTAGACTTCCTGCCGCCGTATCGCTGACAACGCTGCATGCCTCAGTGACACAGCACTCACTCCCTGCGAGGCCCCACTCCATGGCTACTCCTTCCATCAAGCTGACAGCTGCCTACAGTTCCCACCCGCCAGGTGGGCTCTGGCCATGAGGGCGGGGGCTGGGGCAGTGTGTCCTCTCGTGTCTACCCGAACCATCCCCCATGCTTCTCAGTCCAGGGAGGCCCAGCAGGGTGCCAAACAGTCCGTGGGAGGGAAGGGCTCACAGGTGGTCCCATGTCCCTGGAGAATCACCTGGGACAGGCTTGGGCTGAGAGGATGGCAGAGTGTGGGGCAGGCACTGACCTGGCCTGCCTAACCTCTGAGGACTCTCTTCACTGGGGTGTAGACGGGCCCAGGCACCCCCCTGCCCAGGGCCTAAAGCAGGCTGGCTTCTCTCCACGCCATCCACACCCTTCGCAGGACAGCCTCTTCCTCCCTCTCCTCTCCTCTCCTCTCTGCATGCACCCACTCTCACCTCTCGATGAATTTCTGGAACACATCCCCTCGGAGGTTCTGACAAATCTCTTCGATGTACGGCTAAGGGAGGAAGGCAGAGGTTGGCGACTGGGCCCGAGTGGGAGCTGACCAGGCTCCTTGACCTGGCCGAGGGGACTCTGGCCTGGCCGGGAGGCAGGGGGGATAGATAGGTCAGCACACACCTGGAAGAGATCTGGAGGCACCTGCCTCTTCACCAGGTGGCCCTGGACATGCTCGGTGGCACTTTTCGAGAAGGGCTGGGGAAGACAGAGATGGCTGTGAACTCTCCGCAGGGCCCTTCCATCCCTTCCCAATGCCCAGGTCGCTCCGGGCACTCACGTGCGAGCAGGCCAGCAGCTCCTTCATGATGTAGGTGTCGAAGATCTCCCGGCTGCAGGCCAGGCGCTCCTCCTCCGTCTCCAGCTTCTCGTATCTCTTGATCTAGAGGACGAGACCCCCCAGGGTAACCTGTGGCTCAGGGGAGCCTAGAGGCGCCAAGCATCTTGTCAATTCAGCAAAAGCAGCCCAGCCTCGTCCCCTCCTCCAGGCAGTGCAGGGGCCGGCTCACCTCCTCGTAGAACTCCACCAAGGGCTTGGCCTCCTCCAGGTGTTTCAGGCAGAAGTCTCGAAAGAGCAGGTACCCTGAAAGCAAGCGTCAGGTCGCACTGAGCCACACCATCTCAGAGGCCTTCCCACCATGGAGGGTGGTGAGGGCTTGGGGCTCCCTGGGCAGAACCGGGCAAGGAGGTGGCAGAGGTGGTCTCTGCCAGGCAGTGGGTGGGCAAGATGGCCACAAAGGCTGCTGTCAATGGAAGATTCTTGGATTCGGGGTCAGGGCACCTGCATTTCTACCCTCTCAGGATCTCCTCCTCGGATGGTGGCTGGAAAGTGACCGGCACGTTGGTGAGTCACAGGCCAGGGGCTGGCTCTGGCACGTGGGCCCCTGCCCTCTCACTGCAGTCTAGGGACTTGCACCTCCTCCCACAGTGTGACACCGGCCCCGGGCAGCTGTGCGGGTGCAGTGAGGTTCACCTGGGCCAGGCCAGGGCCGCGGCACGGGGGAGGAAGCAGCCTCCGAGGGGCCACCTGCTCTCCCTGGACCTCATAACCCTCCATCATCTGCTGATTTACTCTCACAGCAGCCCTGACACAGCACACGGGAGGGGAAGTCCCACTGGGGAAGCTAAGGCTCAGGGAGGCCTGCCAGGCAGGTGTTATGTGGCAGGTCCTGTGAAGGAAGGTTGGGGAGCGGGGCCTTGAAGGGCATGGGCTACTGGGGGGGAAGAGGTGAGATGGGCTGCGGCCAGGTCTCACCCTCCCAGGGAGTAGGGGCCTGAGGCCTGGCCTCAGACCACCTTGGAGGGCAAAGGAGAAGTATGCCCTGCACCCTCCAGCCCAGCCTGGGTGAGCATCTTGCACTTGGGAGTGTTCTATGCCTCTTTGGGGGGACTGTCCCCACTGCCTCGCGCCTCTTCTGGAGCGTGCAGACTCACTTCTGGCAGGGAGGCCTGGCCCATCAGTATCGTGCCTTTGAATAACTCGTGGGGCTTTCACTGGCACTATCACTTCCGGGCCTCCCACAGGTGGGGCTCCTGCGTTGTAGGTCCCAGGTGAGGATGCCAGCAGGCTCAGAGAGGTAAAGCAATGTGCCCAAGGTCACACAGCACAGGCAAGGGTACCAAGCTGTGTGCTTCCTTAGGAGCTGGCTCCCAAGCCTGACCTCAAAGCCTCATCCCACCAGGCCAGGCTACTGCCGTTTCAGATCCTGTTCTCTGAAGCCCCATCCGAGCTGTGTGCCTGGAGCCTGCTTCCCTGAGACCTGCCCCGACCTGCCCTAAGGCCAGGTCCCCACTCTGAGACCACAGGCACTGGAAGAGGAGGAACGGAGGACCAGGCCCGAGCGGGTTGCTCACAAAGAGGGCCCATGGGGGCGGGGTGGGCCGACCACAGCGAGGCAGGCGCCACAGGAAGAGCCCCGCCCCTTCCTGTCAGTTCTACCAACGGCCCTGAGCAGCTGTGCCTGCGCCAAGGGGAAGCTGCGACTCTCAAAAACAAAAACCCCAAAGGAGGAACTTCCCCGGTGGCCCTGGACGACTGCGGGGCCCCCACCCCTTCACAGGGCTCCCTGGGCCGACAGCCAGGGACTGGAGGCACAGCGGGTCACAGCTCTGCTGTCACCCAGGGGCTCCCTGGCTGCCCGGCCCCAGTGGATGGGAGGCAAAAGCCCGGGGAGCCAGCCTCGGGGTCTTCCTGTTTCCACACCCCAGTCCCTGGGGCTGGCGGAGCCTCCACTGTACTCACCCAGTTTCTGGGAGAAGATCTTCTCGAAGGTCACCTCACCCCGGTCCTCCAGGTACTTCTGCATGACGCTGCGGATGCTGAAAGACAGAGGGGCCGTGTGACCTGGGGCCCCTGTGACGCCTGTCAGCAGAGGGCACTGCTGGTGGGTGTCACTGCTCCCTCGAGGAAGGTCACACCAGAGGGACCCGAGGACGCCTGGGCCTGCCCCCTAAGGCTCTGTCCCCCAAAGCCAGGTGGCCAGATGGTGGCTGCTGAGAAGTCTGGTCCCAGCACGGCCTTGTGCTGGCTTTGGGGTCTTGGCCAACCAGCAGCAGGTGATGGATCACCAGAACGTGGCCTGTCCTCACAACGGAACGCGTACGGCTCAGCCAGATGGACCGTAGTGACACCCACACACGTTACAATGTGATGGGCCTTGAAAGCATTCTGCGAAGTGAAGAAAGAGAATCACAAAAGACCACGACCCCATTTACATGAAATGTCAAGAACAGACAAATCCACGGAGACAGAAAGCAGATTAGTGGTTGCCAAGGGCTGGGGAAGGAAAGGGGGGGTGACTGCTAAGGGTATGGGGTCTCTTTTGGGGGTGACGGAAATGTTCTGGAAGTAGGTAGTGGTGAGGGTTGCACAACATAGAGAATGTACTAAAACCTACTCAACTGTACTCTTTAAAATGATAACTAAAAAATATTTTTATTGATTTTTAGAGAGAGGAAGGGAGAAGGAGAGAAACATAGACTCGAGAGGGAAGCATCGATCAGCTGCCTCTTGCACCCCGCCACCAGGGATTGAGCATGCAACCCGGGCATGTGCCCTGACTCGAATCGAACCAGCAACCTTTAGGTGCACAGGATGATGGCCAACCAACTGGCCAGGGCTAAAATGAGAAATTTATGTTATTTGAATTATATTTCAATTTTTAAAAATGGTTAAAAAAAGAAAAAGCCAAGCCTCAGTTCCCATGTCCCTAATACCTGTCCCTGGGTTGCAGCAGGGGAGGGGCGGCCACTCTGACACAGAAGCCAACCCCACGCTCTACCCCTGTTCATCTCACCCCCCCGACATCACGCACCGTCTGGGAGAGCGACACTGCACTTCAAGCCTCAGACACACCGTCTGTCCCCTCCGCCCCCCTGGGCCACCTGCAGTCCATCCCTGCAGCCTGCCTGTCACGACGGCCGCTGTGGTCATGTCGGGCCCTCACTAGCCCAGGATCCCGAACTGAGGGCCGTGCTGGCAGTCGCACCGAAGGCCATGCAAGGCGCACGTGACCCTTAGGATATGTGGGGCCAACAGCAGGCCACTAATAGAGAGACTGCAGCTGGTAAGAACTTGGGCTGCAAAGTCCAGGCTGTGCCCTCACCTCTGTGTCCTTCTTGGAGCTCAGCATGGGGCCCTGGTTACGGGGGCCTGCTGTACATCACCTACTGGAAGGCGAGGTGCCATGCACCCCTCCCAGGACACAAGCCTGGTTCTGTGACATTAGACAGAGTGTGACACAGCCTGAGTGGGGCCCAGCCGGTTCAAGGAGACTCGGAAAGGGAAGGGTGCTCTAGGCCTTCGGGACAGGCTGTGTGGAGAAGGCGGAACTTCAGTGGGTTCCTCAAGCGCAAACAGGATGTCAACAGGTGGTGAAGCCCAGGGCAGGTGGGTGGCCCAGGGGAAGGCCAGGCCGGGGATGAGCAGGAAGGACACTGAAAAAGCTCGGTCAAGGGCAGGGGGTGAGCAGACAGACTCCACTGGGGGCACCCACTGGAGGAAGCCCAGGTATCTGATGACGGGGCCAGGAAGGAGGGAAAGAAACAGGGTGGGGAGAAGGCTCAGGCCGTCGGACGGATGGAAGAAGGGTTGGCAAGGCCAGTGCACCGGCGGACCCTGCTCAGCCTCTGGGCCTGGGCTTGAAGGAAGGGGACTCCTGCCCTTTTCCACTCAGCGTTTTCCTTCTGAGATGGTCTCAGGGGAAGCCCAGGCCCCCGCCTTCCTAGGCCTTTGCTCACGTTCAATCCATGGAAAAGTCATGCAAGAGAACATGGGAACACGCGGAGCTGATGGGAGCACACAGCTTGGAACCTCCTGTCCAGACACTGGGACAGCCGGGGGGGATGGGGGGGGAGATGCTGGGGCCGAGTTCAGTGCGAAGGGCCCAGGCGAGGCAGCGAAGGCTGGGCAGGGTGGCGAGACCAGGCAGCCAGGAGTTAGGGGCAGGAGCCCAGGAACTCCGCAATGGCCAAGTGCCTGGTTTCTCCCGTGAGAGGGACCAGGAAGGCGGGGCCCTCATTCTCAGCCCCGGGCTCTTCACGTCTGCACCCCATTCCTGTGGCAGGGGAAGCGAGAAAGCAATCGAGGGAAAACAAATGGAAAACATGTCCATCCTCCTTAGAGGTGGACACTGACATGGTGGTCAGGTGTGCTCAGGTGAGCGTCCAGACAGGTGATGCGGACGACACACAGGATGACCCCAGCCTGTCTGGATGACCCCAACATGGCTCCTGCAGTCGTCACTGGGAAGCCCCCGAACCCCAAGCTCCCTTTATGAGAACCAGCAAGACTGGCGCTGGTTCAGTGACGGAGACGGACGACATGGGAGTGCTCACGGGGAGCCGTCCTGCCACGTGACCCGACGGCCCTGCAGGGCAGCTGAGAGCCGGACACCGAGGTCCCCCCGGAATCACACCGTCAGAGCGCCTGCCCACCAGAGAGGACCGGCCGCGGCAGCAGGGCCTTCCCCACCTCGCGCTCTGTCACCTCAGCCCGGGGACAGCAAAGTGCCCCGGCTCCGAGCTGCCTCGGCGGCCAGACCCCTCCCTCCCCCCAGAAGCCTGCACGGGAGGCCGCAGCATTCTTCCCGGCCCACAGCACTTCACTTTCTTCCTTAAAAAGAAAAAAATGTTTTCTCAATAAAACAAACACGGCCCCCAACCAAACACAAGGTCAGGCTCGGGCAGAGCCCTCGAAGGGAAGGCCCCCACAGCGACAGCGTTAGGGTTTCCTGTCCATTCCCACGGGGCCGGCTGAAGGGGCTGGCAGGTTACAAAAACGTGTCACGGGGGACACTCCCGCCAGGGTGGCAAGTCCAGGCTGGCACGGGAGGGGGTGATGGCCTCCTGGGCTGGGCCACCTTTGTGTCCAACCCCCGCTCCCCGATCCAGGAGGAGTCTGAGTGGCCGGGAGCCCAGGGCAGCATTCCTGCCCCTGCCCCAGTCGACAACCCCCATATCCAGGAGCTCGTGGCTCCCACATCAACCCTGGGCTGTCAAGAGAGCCAAGTGCCTGCATCTTTCCTGCCAGAGTTTGCCTGAGGCTCCCAATCAGGTCTGGGTTCCCAATGGCTCTCCCGCCGCCCGCCCCGGAGGCCCGGCCAAGTCACCCACTTCAGATGTCCAGTTTCCTCATTTGTAAAATGAGGATGTCAACAAAATGCTGAACTGTCACCACAGCACTGGCCATTTAAAAAGCCCGAGAGGCCCCGGCGGTGTGGCGCAGCTCACTGGGCGTCGTCCCCTGCACTGAAAGGTTACTGGTTCAGTTCCCAGTCAGGGGACATGCCTGGGTTACAGGCTCGATCTCCAGTAAGGGGGGAGGGGGGGCCGGCAGGAGGCAGCCGATCGTGTCCCTCTCTCTCAAAAGTAATCAAAATACAAATAAATGAATAAATGAATAAATAATAAATGGATCCTACAGCCTGCACCTCCTTCTACTGTGACCATAAGCTGCAGTCTGGTTCAGGTCTCTGTCCCACACCTGCCATGGTCTCGGAGACTGAGGCCTGTGGCCAGGCGGCCGCCTAACAGGTGAGCCCTGACCAGGAGCCGTCTGAGCAGGAGCGTAGCTGCCACGCCGCTCTGCTCACAGATCAGCCTCACTCACTCGTGCTGTTCAGCCTGGGGCCTCGGGCAGAGCCCAACACCTGCCCTGCCAAAGTATTGGGGGGCCCTCAGCAAGAGGCCCACATCACCCCGGCAGGGAGCTGCCGGCCTGGTTGCATGGCACTGCCACCTGCAGCCAGGGCTGCTCACACCGGCTCCAGCTGCTCCAAGGAGCAGGTCCAGTCTGACTGGCATGAGGGGGCGGGAGGGGGGGAGCACTTCCTCCCTCTCGGCCCAGAGTCAGGGTTGGGGTGACAGAACAGCAGGCAGGGAGGGGGTGAGAGCTTCCGGAACCTTCTGGCACCACGTGGTTCACAGGAAAAGCCGAGGCCCTCACTCTGTGGCGCAGTGGCCGGGCCCCTCATCAGTGACTCCTACCCAGGGCCACAGACGGGAGCTTCTGTGGACTGGGAGGGGTGCAGGGGTCAGGGGCAAACACCCCTTCTGATGGTGAGGAGATCAAGGCTGAAAGAAGCTGAGCAGAGTCCCACGCACGTTAGTGGCAAGAGAACATCCAACCCTCCCCGAGAAAGGGCCTCCCACCAGCGGGAGCCCCCCTTAACCTCTGTGGAAGAGCGGGGTGCGGGGTCTCGGGGTCCCTGGCTCGTGGCCTGGCTGCCTTCCCCTCCACTCCCTGCCAGTGGCTGCGGACAGCAGGCGGCATCTCCCCTGGGAACCCATCAGGCTGGAGGCAGCTCTGGCTGGCACCCGGCAGGCCAGGGACCATAGTTCCTGTGCCTGTGTGACAGGGGTGACCGAGCCTTGAAATCCCAGGACAATGCAAGCTGGCACGGGCGCCGGGGACTGGCAGGTCCAGTGCAGCCACGCCGGAACTGCCATGCTCTGGGAGGTGACAGTTAACAAGCCAGCAGAGCGGAGGCTAAGGCACTCCTCTGTGGCATTTCCAGGAAACCTGGCACCGCGGTGGCAGTGGTGGGAGGAAGTCCCCTGGGGCTTCTTATTAATATTTCTCAATGACTCTCCCTCGGGCTGACACTGTCCTCGGAGCTCGAGGACGGGGCACGTATGACATGGGAAAGACTCACTGAATCGGCCAGCTGCGCAGCAAGCCCTGGCGGTGGGAGGGAAAATGATGCCCACCGGGCACCACACACACAAGCCCCCTGCAAATGTCCACAGCAACCCAGGCTCCCAAGGGCACGGTGGCCACAAAGTGGCTCCCTGTGGGATGTGCAGGAAGAGGCACTCTGGCGGCCTTGTCACGTCACGGCTT